GGGGAGGGGGGGGGGGGGGGGGGGGGGGCGTTCTCATGCTTCGCATACCTTAGAGGATAGACCATTGACCACGCGTACTCGAGAGGACGGAGCATTGTTCCCACAGGGCCGACCAGGCGGGATATATATCCCAAACAGGTCAGGGCTGCACGAAGTCATCGGAGCTTCGCGAGAGCGCTCCGGCTGTCTTAGATGGGAGGGTCGCTCGAAAGCACTCCGGAATGAATTGCTTGTTGCTGTTGACTGTTGCTGCGCACTTTGCTGGGAAACGTTTCAACCAATCGCCGCTGATAGACTGGACAACGATTTCTCCAGGGATGTCCAAGTATGCCTTGAGCGGATGGTTTTCAAGCTCAGCCCCAAGGGTCGGAAATCTGGCAGGCAGCAAAACGCATAAATTTTCCAACAGCAGACAACCCAGCTAAAATCACCGTACATTTTACGAGTCTTCAAACCAGCAACACGCGAGACTTCATCTGCACAACACGCTCCATGAACTTGCAGACATGCGCATGTTTTTCACCTGCATCCAATCGGGAAGCCCTTCTTCCCGGATGTCCTCGGCTGTGAGTACCATCAGCCCCGCCAAGCTGAGCTTCGACACACTCCCCGACTGCAGGGGATCGTGGTGCCGGTCGAGTAGATCCAGAGCATCCTTGATCTACGACGGGAACACACGAAACCACGACGGACGGACGGGGGGGAAATAACGGTACGTCGTCAGCATTCGAGTTGGCACAGACGGCACAACAAGCAGACATGTGGCGGCGGCGTGAGCTAGAAAAAAGAATGTGAAGGAAAAACATCATCCAACCGTTGAAGATACTCCATGGGCAAGGCCTGTGGTCAGCCACGAGATCCAGGAGACCACTAACCTCCAGCTGAACCAGATCCAACATAAGAGCTGAACCAGACCAAATATAAGAGCGTTTCGAACACCAAAAACCCAGAAGGGAAGGTGTAAGTCGCGAGGGAAAGCGTGGTAGTCAATGATTCTTACTTCCTCAACCCCTTGCCCCCCTGGACGGTTCAATCATTTTGACTTTGAGACGCCTTGCGCAGAACCCCGCGGAGGATTAACCGTTCCTTCCGTCTTCTTCGCTTGTTGGGCCTGCCTGTCTTGCACCACGAGGGGTAGACAATGGCCGACAACGAGCCTTCGGATAACGCCGACAAGACGCATGTTCGTTCGTCTTTTTACATTTCTTGTTCTCACCGAGAATGTTCCCCGCCTGCCGAAGGAGCTCATGTACTTGTCCCGAACAGCGGTAACGAAGGATACGCTCTGGACCTGCCGCATGCTCCGCCAGTGTGCCTGCAGGGCTAGCTGTTGTTGCCGTCGTTTGCCGTTTTGTCACGATGGTGACGGCGTTTGTCGTTGTCGTGTGCCGTTTATTGTCGGCGTTGACATAGATGTCAGCGTCGTCGCCATTGGTCATGGTAGTTTGGCAAAGGTTCCATGTGTCGTCGTCGTCATCGTCGTGTTCGTGGACCATTTCACGCCCGCGACACGCACGCAGTAACCACGCGGCCGAAAGCGGACGAGGAGGCGAGCAACGGACGAGGGGGGAGAAAATGAACAAAACATGAGAAAGATGGGGGGGGGGACTGAACGCGGGGAGACACAGCTCTACAGGTGAGAAGGGCATTCCTCAGGCTGCTCCAAATATCATAAATCCGAGGTGGAAGGGTGGAGAAGGACCCCGAACGAGGAATACAGAGACGGGGAAAGGTGCCAGCCATTACGCCAACGACAACAACTACAACAATGATCACGACGAAGACAGTAGCGATTTACGCAGCAACCACGCCCGCACGGACAGAGAGCAGCCAGAGACAGACGTCTCATCATGCGGCAACAGCTTTCGACCTTGCCTGCTGCTGCTACGGGGTGCTTGCAATACCCCCCACCCGTCACTACCGCCGCGTCTACAAGCACAAGAAATTCCATCTTAGGCAATGCATGTTGCGTGAACACGCACAAGCGCGAAAACGAGAGAGACGCCCATCGGGAAAGCTAGTGGTGCGACCAGCCCCCGAAATACCAACGCGGCCGAAGGAGGAAAAAGACGGAGGAAGTCGTGAGCGCGGGCGGACACCGACGGACATGGGCATAGAACAAAAGCAAATGAGGGCTATTTTGCTTGCCTGTCGCCTCGACGCCGGAGGGGGGGCTGCCCATGGAACGGCCCCCTCGCATTGACATATGGCGTTCTTCTCGTCTGTGGTCCACAGCACCGGTTGCGCTGAGGCCGAGACCGTTCCGAAGTCCGCGTCGATGCTGTTTCGTCGTCGTGTGGGTGTGAGAGTGTGAGTTTGTCAGCATCGACCGCGCTAACCGGCTGACGAATGAAAATAGAACATCCTTGAACTACTGTGAGTGCGTTTCCACGTTCGACAGGAACATTTTCGCCGGCGACAGGATGAGGGTGAACGATGAGGGTAACAGCAAGGGACGGGATGAGTTGCGCGCAACAACGACAACAACAACAACAACAACAACAACAGTACCGACGAGGACGACAATGACGGTGGTAAAAAAGAGAGCGGCAAGGGGGAGCGGGTTGTCCTATGGGCATGCAATGGGGGGTTAGTGTGATGCCTTAGCCCATGAGAAGCTGACAAGGGTTCGAAAAAAAGAGGCACGTTTCTCCAACCGAGAGCGAGTAAACGCCGGCTGACAGCAAGAACGGTCGTCTTACGCTACCCATTTCTAACACACAGACTCCTCATGCTCGATGTAGACACAACTCGTCAGCGCCAAACTACATACCTCAAGTACTGCCCGTGGTACGTTCGCAGGGCAAACCGATGCTTTGTCTTGGACACCCCTCCGCCGTCGCTGCCGCGGCCGCCGGGAGGTGGAGACACCCCGCCACGTACCCCGCTGGTGGCCACCCCGGAAGAAGGCACCTGCGGCACAGAAGCTCCTGTCCGTTGGCCCCCCTCAACTCCTTCTGCTCTACTCTCAATGCCAGAGCCTTGCTCTCCTCCTTCTCTGAATCCCTCACGCCCAAGGGAAGCCCCCAAGACACCGCTACCGCCACGTCCGCTTCCACATGTCGATGATGCTGCCGACGATGTCCCCTCGTCGGGTGCTCCAGGTGGGCCATGTCCATCGTCAGGGGCGGCGGGCACGTCGGCGAACCTCTCCAGCCTGAACTGCTCCCACGAGTTGTCCCACGACCGGTCGGCCACCACCTTGCCGTCGGGCTCCACGCAGAGGTACTTCCCGTAGGCGCTCTCGAAGCAGACGATCCCGCGGACCTCATGCACCATCAGCGTCCACAGGTGGTCCGTGCCCCTGCCTCGCCGACCCTTGCTCTTACCTCCCCCTCCTCCGATGCTGTCACTATCGTCCTTTTGACCTCGACGCCCCCCGCTTCCGCTTCTCCCAGTCACTGCTGCTGCAGCACCTCCCCCCCCCCTGTATCTGCTTCCTTGTCCTTGCGAGACGCCCCCGCCCCCGCCCCCTGCGTCGCCACCTCCGCCTGCGCCGCACCCAATTGCGGCCGCTCCTCCGCCCCCCGGAGAGTTGGTGCCAAAGCCACCACTACCGCCGCTACTGCTACCGCCGCATTTCCTGTCCCCCTCGCCGGCGCTCCATTCTTCGACGACGCCACCAGCAATGGTTGGTGCTGCTGCGGTGGCTGCCAAACCTCTCCCAGCGGGTGCAGCACAACCGTCACCGCCACCACAGGAGCCCCAACCTGTGGCAGCTTCTCCTGTCGCTAATGACGCTCGTGCGCCCGCCGCCGCCGCCGCCGCCAACGCACCACAAGTAGACTCAGCCCCGCTACCAGAACTGCTCCTAGCATGCCCCATGCAACAATCCCCCGCATTCTCACAATCTTCTTCTGTGTCAACATCAGCGGCGTGGGCGGCGGCGGTGGTGCTGGCGGTGGCGGAGGCGTTGTTAAGTGCCCCAGGAGAGACGACGTCCCCGTCGGCGGTGGAGCGCACGAAACTGCCCGCCTTGGTCTGCAGCCTCACCACCAAGAACCAGCCGCCGTTGTCCACGAGGCGAGGGGAGCGGCGAGAACGGGGCTGGGCCCGCGCCGACACTTGCCGAATCATCGGTATCTGATCAGACGAGCGGCAGGAAACAACGTGGGCAAGCGTGGGGTGGCATCGGCAGGGGGAGGTGTAGAAGAGAGCTGCTAAAGGAAAGCAGTACTCAGGTGTTCGTGCATAGCGACAGAAGGTGTGTGGGTCAGAATGAAGCGGTCTGGATATTTTCCCAATCATCCCCATTACACCTGCGTAGCCGTGCTACACCGTCTGCCTCGATAAGACTTGACCGCAAACAGCAGCAAGCAAAAAGCCCACCCTTACGTAGAAACGTGCACCAGCAAAGCGGGCGAACCGCACACGCAAACTTGAACAAAAAAAAAAAACACGACGGAGTCCCTTCCACAGGACAGGACGGATCGAACCTTGCGGTAGACTTGGTCGCAGTGGTGCTCGTAGTGCACCTTCGACCCTTCCAGCTGCTTGAACCCGAGGTCTTCGTAGTACCTGACCAAATGGTTGTACTTGCCCATGTCTTCTTCGGCCTCCAGGCGCACCTCGGTCACCGAAAGGTTTCCCAAGGTGGCGAACACCTTTGGAGGAGCGTGTTTTTGGTCCCGAGCGGAAGTTGTTCACGTGTTTTCGATCGTTGCCCGAGCAAAGAGGGGGGAGAGAGGGGGGAATCAGGCCAAGTTAGAAACACGAACGGCATTTTTTTGTGTTCTCGTCACTGCTGTGGCTGTTCTTGGTCAGCAGGAGCGGAAACGCTTCCTATGGGTCATGCGCCAAGACTCCAGCCAATGGGTCACAGTCATTTCAGGTCCCCGGAGCCTTACAATTCCTTGGGGTTTTGGCCTCCTACTAGAGTCTAGAGGAGGTCGCTACCCGTCACTCACCGCGGCTAGGTGTCTCGGGGGTCTGTGGTGTTGTGGGGGCAAGGTAGACGGACTTTGCTTCTCATTCTTTCTCTCCCTGCCTTCGCCACCCCGACCCGAACCCTGCACTGAACCAAAACATCCATCCCGAGCAGGAGCTGCTTGTAGCTCTTCATCCGCGTTCTCGGAGGAGGATACCCCCCCTGACAAGGGCTCAATACCCCGTCGCCCCCCCCCCCGTTCCCCGCCCCCCGGCCCTTTCCCTTCCTTTCCCTCTCTACCTGTTGGCTACGGTCAAGTATGCCGTGCGGGGTAGCAAGCCGAGCATGCAGGTAGCGATGTTCACCCTCGTTATCCGCGAAATACTGAGCTCCAGGTGACGCTGAAATAGCGTCGACTTTTGGCGCGGGGCGCACGTGGCGCGGGGGAACCCCACCGCCCCACACCCGCATCGAAGGATCACATGGAAGATTCTAAACCCGTTCGGAAAGGGCTCTCGGCCCGACTCTCTCCTTCGGGACGACTCTCTTCGGATTTTGACGAGACGCTTTCGCACGTACATCACTGCTGCGCAACCGCCGACTCCAAGGGGCGCCGTGATCAGCAGCACGAGAAGGGTGGGGGGGTCAGCCGGGAAAAACGTCCCCCCCTATGCATACGATACAAACAAGCCCTACGACAGTTTCGCCCATAACTTGTAAACGCATGCCGTAGCCGTTAGACCATTGACCTCGCATCCTTGAAAGACCTACAACCCTGTCTACAAATCTAAACGGTGTTCGCCGTGGGAAACTCCCCGGGCGGGCAGGTGTCTACCGTCGAGATAACCGTGCGACAAGGGGCAGCGCGTCCACACGGTTGCTCATGGTATGCGGGCAAAGCAAGACCCTTGCGCGACTAAACCAAAACGTAGCGCCATCATCGTGTGCACGGATTGGAGAGTTGGCCCGGGGGTGAGACGAAAAACTAAGTACGGGATGATTGAATCGCGCTATCGACCGGGGATCGCCAAGCTCGCACGGGGGTGAGTTTGTCTCTCCCCTGACCCCTGTCGGCGGACCATTCACTAAAAAAGAGGCTGCGTTCTACCGCAAGAATCCGTTCAGTTGCAACAGGGAAACATGGCATGTTCCGATTGCTTCTCTACCGCGACACACGATGCTATCGGGGGTCGGCTGCTGTTGGTGACCCGTGGTGCTCAAGACTCGAACGTAGTACAAGGTGCTTCCGTTGGACTAGACAAATGGTCCACTTCATCACGAACGCCAAACAGCAAATGCACAGGGAACACCTCCTCGTACCGAATCGCTACCGTAGATCCAAAGCTGGAAGGCACAATGGACCATCGGTAAGCCCTCAGCCCACCACCGCTTGGCCCTTACGGCGCCTTACGGCGAAGCAAGCGCTTTGCTAACCGCTGATATTGCACACCAAACCGTGTCTCTCCGCTCGTTTATTGAGGCGGTACCCAACCGTCTTCTGCGGAACGCTTTCCTATGCCTCGACGCGCGAAAAGCGCATATGCGCGTGAAGTCGGCCGCTGTGGAACAAAATATTCAGCGCCACGCGGATACGAGAACTGGCACGGGGATGTGCACACAGGATACAGACATCGTTCATACTTCTAGCCTGTACCTGCAGCAACGTTTCCATGTTAGCAATTGGTTTGCGAAAAACGTGGCCTAGGCAGATCCGCAGTCTAGCATTGTCGCGAGAATCGTGACGCTTGAGGAAAAAAGGGTCGGCGTGTTCAAGGCGACACTAACCACACGCGGCACGTAGGGCATCGCACTACACAGTTAGCACAACGGGCAATGCGCATGCTGCCAAACGTCCCACACCCTCCCCGTGGTACGGGAACAAGCTGTTGCTCGTTCCCCCCCCGGGGGCCGGGCGGAACAAGCGGAGAGTTGCGCATCGCGCCTTACCCTTTAACACATGTATTGTCGCACAGCAAAACGACCAACTTCCCTCCGACATGCATGTCGGTGTCGCATTCTTCCCTCTGCGCGCGCGGCGGTCGAGAACTCGCCACTCCTCAGTGGCTGCAAGCCCGGAATCATGACGACCACCCCACCCAAGCTACCAATGAACCATTGCCACCGACGCACGACTTTGGTGGTCGCATTAACGTCGAAAGCAAGCCGTGTTCTAAGTGCTACATCCCCGTTGGAGTCCCGCTAATCTTGATTGGCCGGGGACCCAGGACTTTTTCGACCCTGCGAAAAGGATCAGAATGGAGACGGGTTCGCGATCTCTTCATTCGCCACCCACTCGCACGCTCATTCTCTGCGTCTTCCCTAGCACCCCATCAAAGCTCACAGGGTGGTCCACCTAACACCTACGATTCCGTGTACCTCACCAAACCTACCACTAGTACCGCCGGAGCATTGCGGTCCGGATGATTCGCAAAGCTGGTCGCGACCCGTTCCCTCCACCCTAAGGGGCAGAGCGTAGAATTTGGCACATCGGCGTGTGCGTGTGTGTGTGTGCACGTGTGCGTGTGGCGCCACGTTTGCGTTCTCCGTTGTCTCTTCATGCGCTGAGGAGCAGAATCTCTCTCGCTGGCTGCAGTAGCGCGCGGGAAACATCAGCATTCCTTGATCGGACTCCCTCCTATCTCCGTGGTCTTCCTCTGGACATCCTCTCGCTCAGGAAATCTGCCGGCGTGTGTTCCTTTTCAAGGGCCAATGGCCATGCGTGCGTCCTCCTCTTTTGACAGTCCGAGCGCTAGCGGCCGTGTGCGATATGAGGCAAGACACATTTCCTGCTCATCTACGGAAAAGCTGCCGTGTTTCTGCCAACCTTGGGAAATCACAGCTTGACTATTTAGGAGAACCTCGCCGGGCATGTGCGACCTCGCTCTCTCTGTCTCCCCCTCTTCCGATAGCGGCTGGTGTGAAGGGGCGGTTGACACAAACGTGTGTACCCAAGCGACTGCTGTGCAACGTGTGGTGGCCTGTTGTGAGGTCGTGGTAGATATGAGTGGTGACGGGAGAGAGTCACGAGAATGTTTGGTGCGTGTGCGGGTGTGCGCGCGTATGGTATATGGTCCGTTGTAAGCAGTAGCAATCTTGCTTCCAAATTCCAAAATTTCCAAAAACGTTTCCTCGGCCGCAAATCGCGGCGCGATGGTCTACGGATTTGAAAAAGTTTGGAAGAAAACAATCGGGACGTTTAAACGCCCGCAAGGTCGTCATTTGGGTTGTTACCTACGGCCTCGTTTCTCCGATGGTGGCCTCTCCGACATGTTTTTGTGGAGGCAGGGGTACGATCGATTAAGTGGTGGCCATTGCTAGCTATGCATGCGACTACGGATGTTTCTTCCCTTTTTGTCCTGGGGGCTTCTGTTCGTTAAGTAATCAAAACCCTAGGTCTTGGAGTCACGAGCGGACACGTGTAACTCGCACCGCATAATGTTTCCGAGTGTTGTTTGTGTACGCCTCCTTTCGCTTTCCTTCCCTTTTGGCAAGAGCAGATGTCCATGCAGTACACGCGCCCTGTGTATTACCTTTTTCGCGTTGTCGCGACTCACCTCCTTGAACAGCAGCGGTCCCAGACCGATCCCCCGAAAATCTTGGTCTACCTTCACAGACTTGACATGACCATAGGCGTGGTTGTTCTCCCCCCGCCCCTCCTGCTTCAGGGAGAAGAGGATCTGCGCGACGGACATTCGGCGACCTCCCTGAAAAACAGCAAGCCTGAGCTCACACGGATAATAAAAAGCGAGGACAGGGAGCGAGGTGTGTGTGAGAGGGGCGGAGGGTCTCGTTTCAAGTTTGTAGGTCGGATGGTCGTATCGGCGCCCGATGGACGTGCCCCCTGCACCCCCAATACACACGTCTGGCGGCAGTGCCAACAGTAACGGGAACGCGGATTCATAACAGTGTGTGTGCGCCATCCAACGAAGGCGCGACACAAAGCACCGAGAAATACATGGCCGTGAAACCGCCGGATTGATTGCGTCGAGGTGGAGGAGATGCCTCAAAAATTGGTCACGCTGAATCGACGGAGCACCATGTGCCCGTGCCGTTATGGGGTGTGGAGTGGCCGGTGAGATGAGCACAGACGTGAAAAAAACAACTTGCAACATGTGATACGCATTGCACCTGGAAGTTCGCACGTGTGTTCCTGTCTGTCTAGCACCAAATAGTGTTCAACCCCGTTAGGTATACCCGTAACCCCACTACAACTACCCTAGGTTGCGAGTCAACGCATCCCTGTGCGATGACTACGGACCCCATGCGGCAATCGAACTAAATCATCTAGCCATTCTTATTTTTTTTATCGCACAGGTGCGATGACGCCGGACTGCTGTGCGATAACTCCAGAGAGAGACGTAGGCGTAGATAGATATGGATGGAGCCTCACAGAGAGGGCACCACTGCTACTGCGCACGCTCACACACGCACCCAACACCACACCAGTCAGCCGTGTACGCAGAACTGCTGCTGTTTAGCAGCGCGGGGACGAGTGAAAGTGTTGTGTGGTGTGGACGAAGCTCTGCTGCCGCTGCTGCTGCTGCTGCTGCTGCTGCTGCTGCTGCCGCTGTGTGGATTTGCACCACCTTGCTTACGCTCGTAGCAGCGGCAACGGGCTCTAAAAATCGCCCCCGACACCCCCTGTGTGTAATTGGTCGCCCTTGGCCGGCAGCGTGCGTACATCTCGTTGTCTCTCTGTTTTCGGGTGCGTCTGTTGTGGATCAAACGAAGATCGGCCAGATAGACCAACCGGCGAAGATAGCCGCAGATTGATTGAATTGTGTGCACGTGCTTCACTCGCTTTTACGCTGCTAGCAGCAGGCAACGGGCTTCAAAAATCGCTCTCGATCCCTCGTATGATGTGTTCCATTGGCCGTTGGCCTGCAGCAGTTTGTGTGTCTCGTTGTCTCTGTTTTAGGGATGCATCTGTGTAGCAAGCTCAACAGATTGGCCTGCAGATAGATAATAGCAGCATGCAGCAGCAGCAGCAGCAGATTCGACCTGTGTCGCCTCCCTCGGTTGTGGTGCTGCCGACAGCAGCCAACCGGCTCTAACAGTAGAACCCGACCTCCTATAATGTGTGCCTTTGGCTGCCCTTGGTCCACGCAGTCTCGTGTGCTGCTGTGCTGGTTGTCTCGTGTGTTGCCTACGTGTGTCATGTGCTGATGCTGCTGTGCTACGTCTTGCGGGGGATTCCCGTTCGGCGGCATGGCTATCAACCAATAATCTGTCTCTGTCCTACAAAATGTCCGTAAATCGACTTGTGATTGGTGGGAGGACGCGGTTCTACCCCTCTAAAACATAGAAGTAGACGTTTTATTATTAATTCTTCCGGTCCAACATAAAAATTGCCCTACATATGGGTGCTCTGCCGGGAACGAAATTCTGAGTCGCGGTGGTACGCCGCAGACGTCCACTACAGCACTGTTCACTTGGAGTACTGTAGCGTAGTTCTCCCGTACTTCGAAGTACGAAACATGAAAATTCCAGTACCTATTGACCTGTTCAAACGTGACAATGCAAGCTTCAACGCTGTCGTAGGATTTTCCCCAACCGAGCACTCAGAGCAAACCCGCACGCTTCTTGTTCGGCTGGCGTCACTGAAGTACAGTCAGGACTCCTCCCGTACAACATCAATATTACATATGATGCACGAAGTGAGAACTGATTGCTGAAACCGTATTCGACACAAGATAACACACCCCCTGGACCGATTTTCAAAGCCCGAACTCGCCACGACGAAGCACATGCATAAACAAAACAATACATTTTCGGAAAGCTCTCGACGAGACGGCTTCAATGCCGTCATTTTCGGGGGCTGTGACTCTCTCTGCTGTTGAGAAATCAAGTTTTGAAAATCGGTCCAGGTGGTGTGTTATCTTGTGTCGTATACGGTGTCTGGTTGAAGTGAACTTGATTGATTACTGATTCATTTGTACCACACCAACAGCACGAGTCTTCGACATACCTAACGTCTCCCGTTGGTCTATCCCGGTATTCCTTCACCGACAGCAGCGGCCCATCGAACAGTTGCCGCGGCGGCATCGTCTCGTCATCGTCGCTGTCGCTGTCCTCTCTCTCGTATGCATAGCTCGGAGCTGCTAGGGCCGCATTTTCGGGCCGCCCCGTGATCGGTCTGTTCGTCGTTGACGACGACGTGCCTCCTCTGCTTCCGTCGATGTCCTTATTTCTCTCTCCGGCACGCCACTGCCACGGGCTTCCGCCTCCCAGGTCTCTCCCATTGAGCAGTGGTTGATCATGATTCTCGTGGTGCTGATGCTCGTGCTGGTGCGGACGGTCGAGACGAGGACGTTTCTTTCCGTGCAGCGGTGGCATCGGCATGACTTAGTGTGATTGCTGTGTTGTCACCACCTTCTTCTACACCTCTTTCCTGCTATGTTGCGAGGATGTCGATGACTAGTAAACATGCATCGCCGCAGCAGGACGTGTCGTTGACCTCTCCCTGTGTCCCTGTGCCGTCGCTGAGTGACAATCCAGTGTAACATGCCAAGTTGTACTTGCGTGTATCAGCGTCACCAGGACGGGGGTGACGTGGTGGAAAGGGCGGGGGGTACGTACTTGGGACTGTAGGAAATGATCTTCGAAATCTCCGAAAGTGCTCTGTGTGTGTTGCGGCAGCAGCTGGCCGGCGTGTGCATGCTTGCATATCGAACGAAGCAACTCCGTGCTAGGGTGCACAAATATCCCCGTGTGGTTACAGCCCTGGGAAAGTGACCTCCTGGAAATGGCCTACCCGTGCGCTAGCGGTGGCTAAGAAGGTGTGTGTGTTTGACCGGGTATGTATTGTAGATCTGCCCTTCGGGATTAAAATAAGTCCGCCGCCCTTACAATACACGTTCCACCTTTCGGCCTCGTTTACAGCCGTGTGTCTCTTCTGTTTGTTATCCCTGCCAGGCCGTGCTGCCAATGTCAATGTAGCCACCGCCTTCCCTGGATGTTCCCCGTTTCTAGTCTGACAGTCTTGGCTCAAAGCAGCTGCTGTGTACAAAACCAAAGTTTTTGGTTTGTAGAGGTGCGCCGGGAATGTCACGACTGGCAGCTGGCGGCCAGCTTCGGGTTGGCCTTGCTTTGGTTTTCGTCTTGCGTCACCCCTTGATGACACTGTGCTCTCAGGAGCCCACTCCAGGAGGGATCCCTTGCAGTCCCTTCTATATTGCGGCCAGGAGTTATGAGTACGGCGGGGTCCCTCGACCTTAGTGACTGAGTAAGATACTGCCCCCCCCCCCCCTCCCTGGACCGGTTTGCAAAGCTCGATTTCTCCACAACAGGAAGAGAGGCGGCGCCCAAAACGGCGACATTGGACCCGTCCCTTGTAGAGCTTTCCGAAAACGTATCGCTTGATTTATTGGTCCTCTTCCCCCTGGAGAAATCGAGCGTTGAAAATCGGTCCAGGGGGTGTGGTATCTTGTGTCACCTCCGGTAAGGGTGGTCAAAAGATCGCTTGTCTACTTGTCACAGTCGTTGTAGCCGTGCGTTGATCTGCTGTTGGCTACAGCAGTCATGAAGCCTCTGTCTCTGGTGGCGGGGTGTTGATATTTCTACTATTTGCTACTGTCTTCATTCTTCACCTCACTGCCTGCCACCTCGCCACGGCACCGCCCGTCCTCACGCCTAACTCATCCTTACTGCTGGCTGGACTGAATTCCCTGTGCTTGACGGAGCAACAGCAACAGCATTATAGGGGCGCAGCAACGCAGCCGATCTCGGCCATTCTCCGGTTCGACCACAAGCAACGAAGAATCGACGGCGACGATGGCAAAGATAACGACGACCACAAGGACGGGGGTAGAGTACTCTGGCGACGTGGGGGCTTGCGACTTCGAGGCAACGGCGGTGGGTGACGGGGTGACGGGCCGCGCTGCAGGGGCACCAGTGAGGATGGTAACGCCCCCAGCAGCCGTGACGGCAGCGTCAGCTGCAGCAGAGGGGAAATCGGAAGTAGAACTTGCACTAGAGGGGAACTCTGCAGCAGCACGAAAGGGGACGGAGACAACGGACACAATGAACACAGAAGGCAACACAAGAGCGTCAAAGGATATTGCACGGCTAGCGACGCAAAGACCAGTGAGCCCCCCGGAGGCGGTGGCGGTGGCGGCGGCGGCGGCAAAGCTTCAGCAGAAGGCAAGAGGGTCGCCCACTTCTACTCGCCGTTCCTCCTCGGCTTCTTCGTTCTCCGCTCACCGTTCGCTCCTCGCCATGCCTGCACTGGATGCACTCAAAAGGCGGGGGGAGAGTGATCCTTCCCCGGGAGGGGATGCAGGGGTGCTTCCTGCCGCAAGCACGGCCCCCAGCAACGCCGAGAGCCGGGTCAGCAGCTTCGACCGCTCGAGGAAGAACACCAACAGCGGCACCAGCGAGGAGGGCCGGGCTAACAACTCGGGTGGGGATGGGGGCGGCGGCGGGGAGGGCAGCGGAGACAGTAGCGGCGATCAAAGAGGGGGGGAGTCGGGGGGGGCGGGAGGGATACTTCGGAATAGCGATTCTGCGACGCAGTGGAAATGTTTTGACTCGGCAACGAGCGAGGTTCCGTTGCGTAAGGTGAATGAACGAAGTTTTTAACAAGCGGAGGTGAAGGTCAGGGTGAGGGGAGACGTTCTCGTTTGGTGCGCTCTCGAGAGCGCATGTTGCCGTTGAGCCCATGGCAGCGCAGGAGCATGACCCATGTGCGTGCATCACATACCCCACGTTTAGCACACGTAGCTACATTTTTTTATTATTCCCTGGAGCAGTCGTGACTTTCCCAGCCGTATGCATTCAGCAGTGATCGCTTATGATGATACTACTGTAGCTTTTTTTCTACTGACAGACCACCGCTTTCTTCACACGACCCCACCTTCGCCTCATCTCCGCCCACCGTTTTATTCCGCTCTACCACCTTTCCTATCTCCACCACGGACACCCCGTATGTTGCTTTATCGCCCCCCCACTGCGCTGGGTGATCTCTTGCTGTGTTTCGTGATCGCGAGAGAGCAGGGGAACACGAGCGACGAGCCCGGACGACGACCAGCGGCCGAAGTGGTCTCGGTGGAGTCGCCGCAGAGCATGCTTCTGACGTCCGAGCAAAACACCATCATGCGTTTGCCCAACTACAGTTCGTTCATGCGCCAGCAGGTAGGTTGTTTGGCGGCAGACATAATAACTAGATGGATGGCAGAGTTGCTGACAAGACCGGTTTTTTCGCCCTCACCAGTATCGCTGTAATGTCGCAACCCTAGATTCCTCCCATGTTCATTTCGATGTAGCATGAAGCCCTGCTTGGTAAGAATTTCTGATTCGCCCAGCGCGCTCTCGAACGGTGAAAGTTGTGTATCCCCTGCAACAAGAGCATGCTATATTCAAAAGAACGACATTTAACAAAGTCGACGAGAGCAACCGAGACCGTCTGTCGGGGCACACAACACGCGAGACACTACACGAAGCCAGCACGCATGGCGGCTGTGAGCGGCAGCCGGTTGTTCACCAGTAAACTCTGGAGTACGACGAGTTACAATGTGTTACATGAGGGGAACGGACAACGGGTTGTGGCAAGAAAGGGTCGCTGGATGCGGAAGGAGCTGGTTCGGTTTGAAACAATGCACACGCGATTGATCGAAAGCCTACGGCACCGCGCGGCGGGAGCTATGGGAAATGCAACACGTTCATCGTATTGGTGGTCGCCATGCGCTCGTTCTTACGTCGAAGCGTAAGACGGTTGCGGATTTTTCACCAACGGAACCAGCAGGGCGACCGGGGTTATTATCAACAAAATTATCCTTCTCTTGTAGATCAATATTTATCAACAATATTTCATATCATCCCAGGCGGAGAGAGGAAACTCCGCATTTTTTTCTGGATCCAAGTCAAACGTTCGTCTCCGACACGAGCCCGATTCTCATGAACTGAGGATCGCCCCAAGGTAGCCAACAATACATGAAGTGGTGTGTGGGCTATTACTGTCCTGCAGCTATCCACCCACAGTTTCAGCAGATGGCTTGAAGCACGTGCATGTCGATGTGCCTGCCTGTGTGTGGTGTGTGTGCCGAAACAGGAAAGCCTTCAGGCTCTGCTGGTGGATATTCACCAAGACCCGGACGGCTTCACGGATTTTGTTGAGGTGCGCAACATTGGCTCGACCCCGTTGACCGCCTTCCTTCCTCCTCATGCCTCAGGGCTCGTCGTCGGCAGCGCTCAGAACCCTCGTGTATTAGCGAGAAACAAGGGGGGAAAAGACTCCGGATTCGACCGCCTGTCGGCGTCGTCAACGTAAAGAGATGCTTCAAGGGTGTCGCTATTTGATGCTTATTGGAAGATTGAAATGGATATCAAAAAGGTTTGTTTTCCAGCGACGCTCTTTGGCCATCCTGTCGCTTGGAACTTTCATGAATACTCTCTCTGACGATGATGTTGTTACCAATCGAGAAACCGGCGCTGAGAATGATAGATACCTGAGTTTGGCAGCATTTTTGCGCACACCGAAGTCAGTCAGATGCTTAGCCGCAACTAACTCGTGGGTGGAAGACACGTTTTCGGAGAATGCTGTTTATGACAGCACAGACAGCAGCACAGCCGCAGAAGGAGTTAGGCAGTGCGGGTTGACCACTGAAAGATCCGGAACTGAAACAAGAATTAAAGTCCGTTGTCACAAGACTCACCAGCTGTCGTAAAGCGTTCAGAACAAGCATCGCTGGGAGGCCTTTCAGGATAAATATACCCTGCATTTGTGCCGACCCGTTCGTTCGTGACCGGTGCTTCGTGTGATGAACTCCATTCCGACTGCGGTCCGTGACACAGCGGTCATGTTGATTCCTAAGTCGTTTTTTCCTCGGATATCTTATGGAACGTCTGCCCTGCCTTTCAAGCTGCGTATTGTGAGCATTCAGCTCGAATCGCAGCGCAATTCACTCCATGCGCTACCATGCAACCCGCAGTTGATCAATCACCACCAAAATCTTTGAGACGCGTAGAGCTCAATGGCGCCGTGGAATCCCGCCGCCGTTGATTTGACGCTTGCTTGCATGGTCGGACATGTTCGTATGTACGCGTAGAGCGGCAGAGATATTTTGGTCATGTCGACCGCTCAAAAGATCTATAACTCAATCCTGGCACTATTAGTCGCGTATGCGTGTTTTGGAATTTAACAAACTTGGCATCGCTCTTGCGTCCAGGAAAATCAATCTCCGCGCGCGCAGCGCCCGCAAGCAAGCAGGTGCATCATAAACACGCTGCTCGGCACGGCTATCACAACTGGAAAAACTATTCCAAACCGCGTTTTCAAACTCAACTGTCATAGTACACTGGTGTACTATCAGTTAGAGTGGGAATCAACACGGGTTGATTTGTCGCATATTCCCAATTCGATGTGTTGGCGATCAAGCTATGGCTGCCCTGCGTGCATGTGGCGAAAACCCAGGGGCACTCAATATGTCTTGCTCTACGCTTTGGTCGTGTACATACACCAAAGGTCACCGCAGTAGCTTCAATTCAACGCTTTTTGACGGAACTTGGAAGTACCGTAAGAGTCGGAGCGGTGGTACCGGGTGCGATTGATTTTTTAACGTTTTCTTCGTTTTTTTTGTCGCACCCCGCGGTGCGATCTCTCCGACCCCGGTGCGGAAATGCAAATGTATCATGTCATTTATCTTTTTCAAGCCACCCCGGTGCGATCTCTCCGACCGGTGCGATGCCCAATGAAAACACACAGCGGCCTTGCTAGTGCTACGGCGGTGTTGTTTGCACGCGCACCCCGGGGGCATCTCCCCGACCAATGCTGTCTCTCCGCCTCTGAGTATTGGTACCAGTGTAGTTTTACAAGCAGACGTTGCGCGGCGTACGGTCTAATGTATGCTGGTACGTAGCAGCTTTCGATGCAGCGAGTGGTCATGGGTGTGAATGCGAGTGTGGGTAGTGCGTGACAAGGACAACAAACGATGTGGTTTCCATCTGGGGTACCGGTACATACGGTATCAGGTTATCTCCCGCTTTCGTTTCGGTCTTCCTCTACGGATGCCAGTACGCAAGCAGCCGCACGTTAGATACTTGCCTCTAAGGTGGGCATAAATCACGGCTTGTACGTTGCGTACTTGGGTGGTGTACGGTTTGCAACTACCATACCGATTAAATGGAAACGAAATCCACCGCGTCGACCGTACATACATACACGAAGGTGGCGCTCCGCTGACACCGCCACCACGTGTACAAGGGGCGCACATGTACACCTGTTTTACGGCAGCTCAGAAAGAGAAAGAGCCCGATCTTGGATTTTGAGAGTGTGATATCGCACCGGGTGCGATCTCACCGACCCCGATGCGAAAATACAATTTAAACCATGCCGGTCTTGTTTTTTTTTTCGCACCCCTGTACCATCTTCCCGACCGGTGCCGTCTCTCCGCCCGGTGCCATGTCTCCGGCTCTAACGGTATATTGTTTCGTCGCTAACCTGTCTTTTTGTCTCGACTTCGATTTGTCTGAAACCATTTTTGTCTCCGGCAAACAGGCTAGGAGAAGTGAAATCAACCCGGTAGGGGAGGCAAGCGTCTCGAACGTCACGTCGGCGCTGGAGAGCTTGTCCGACTACGCGAACCTTACGCAGATCGGAAGTGGTCGATTTTCCGTGGTTTTTTACGCCGAATCGAAGGTGGGGGCGAGAGGCATAGGACACACACAGAGAGAGAGAGAGAGACAGACAGACAGACAGACAGAGAGAGAGAGAGAGAGAGAGAGAGAGAGAGAGAGAGAGAGAGAGAGAGAGAGAGAGAGAGAGAGAGAAATCGAGAATACAACAACCTGCCTACTGAACGAGAAAATGTGCGAACATAGCGACATCAACAACAACAGAAAGCATCGTACCAACTTCAATTTTCCTCCTCTCATGGCGGAGATGTATGACGAAACGGTACGTGGAAGAGCCTCCGTCCGATTCCACTCTCCTCCTCTGTCCCCCCCCGGGCTGTCCCGAAATTGCGAAGAAGACAGGACGACCGTGCGCCATCAAGCGCATCCCGCTGGCCAACCCGCAGCAGGATGAAGGGGGCGGCGGGGGGACATCACCTTCGCCGCGAGACGCGCAGGCAGAAAAAAGCAAAGCAACGGCATCAACAATAGCAACGAAAGCAACAGCGGCGCCAAGGGTGGTGACGGCAGAGGAGGTTGGGGGCGAGGGCGAGGGCGTGGCCGGGGACGGGGAGCGGAGGGGCAACTTGCGCAAGTATATGACTTACGAGACATGCGTGAAGGAGGTACGTGCCTATTGTAGACGTCCTTGCTCATCTATTCAGACGGAATGGGAAGTTCTGCGCGTAGTTCCTATCTAGCTGTCTGGCGCTGTGGTGTCTGTCTGTCGATCTGCCTCTCCCCCCCGCGTCTCTCTGGGGCTTCCTCCCTCTTTGGGGTGATTGCGGTGCGGAGTAACTGGTTCTGTTGCCCGTCAGCGCCGGCGAGAGAGAGGGACAGCGGGGAACAGAAACAGCTGCAACGCATTCCCTTCTCTGTTTCCGCACACGAGAAGAGGCCAGGCCGCTGTCGGAAAACGCCAGTAGATTGCTGACTGGCTCTTGTCTGTCCTGTGCCATAACTACGTTCTCTTCAGCCTCTTCACCGATACACCGAACATGGTCACGTCATGTTTTTTTTGTCTCCCCCTCTCTTTTTGTATACCACATTTTGTACGCAGGTTGGGCTCTTGAAGAACTTGGCCAGCCCGAATATCGTCAAGCTCCACACATGTTTTCTCGACCACAACGCGTTGTGGGTGGTGATGGACTGGATGGACGGTGGAGACCTCAAAGGCACGAAAGTTTCGGTGTTGTTGTTCGTTTGTACTGCTAACTCTGTTACTGCTGCGCAATTTTGTTGGTGCCACACGAAACAGATAGCTGTGTTCGGTGACTCCAACGATGAATCGCACGTTCGAAGTGCTGCCTCGCCCGGCCCCTTGCTTGCCTCATTTGGCATGCACGGGCAAGTATCGGGAGAAGGCTGTTGACGAATAAAGGCCGTTATAAACATACATTGCTGTTTTGCTTCCAAGCTTCCAAGTTCCGACTTCGCAGATTCCCGATTTTTTTCAACAAATTTGGAAGCAGCTCGTTCCATTTTTTTCGGTGCGACTAGTTTCCGAATTTCCAAATTTCCAATTTTCCAATTTTTTTCCCCGTCCGCGAATCGACGTTCCATGATTTTCTGATTTTGAGATTTAGAAATTTGGAAGCGAAATAGCTGCTGTTTAAAACGCCCCTAAGGTGGACAAGGGCAGTGCCACACCACTATCCCCGCCCTCCAGTATCATTCCACCGATTCCACCATTCTAGTAAAGGACCTCTGTTTTTTCTCACCTGTCATCCCTTCCCAGGAAAGGGTTGCTGGTATGGGCATGTCTTGGAGACAAGAGATAACAGTTGAGCAACGCCAATACCCCGACCCCTCTCCCTATTCTACTCCAAAACCACCGCCGCCGCTTCAGGAGTGCTGAGGCGCACGAAGCAGGCGGGGCAACGCCTGGACGAGATAACCGTGTGGGGCTACTTCACGCAGATCTGCGACGCGCTGCTTCACATGCACGGGGAGCGGATCATCCACAGAGACGTCAAACCCGCCAACGTGTTCGTGTCTCGCGATGGGATCGTCAAGCTGGGGGATCTGGGGCTAGGCCGGTACGAAAACGACTTAAGTTTGTTCGTTCGCGACATCCCACTTACTCTCCTTTTCATTCCTTCTTTCGTTCGTCATTCTGTGGCCATTTTCCATACTTTTTGTTTGTTGATTTTGTTGCGGCTTGCTTGTTTTCGCCTACAATAGCGGCGTGCAATTCCGAGCCGTGACGGATGTTTAGCGAGAAACTCGCAGGATCGAGCGATGAATCATTCTTTGATGGGAGGACCCAATCCCGCGAGTCACATGGAAAAGGCGCGATCAGGGTTGCCGTGCGTGCGTTCGGATGGCCAGCAGTACCTCCGCAGCCAACTTCGTTTTTTCGCGATACCCCGGGAATGGCAACCGCTTCAGAAAGTGCTCCCTAACACTCAAAGGCGACGCTATCGAAACCCACTACGACGATTCAAGTTTGTTGTAGGCTTAGTCCGTAGGAGGTGAAATGTGGAGAGGAAGGGGGAGGCCGGCACCCCTCTTCGCTGGACCGGCACCGTTTATGCCGACCCGGTTTTATTCCTTGGTAACCCCCACCCCGCCCTCCGCTTTCAGATACCTGAGCGCCCGTAGCGTGCTGGCCATGTCCCAAGTGGGAACCCCTCTCTATATGAGCCCCGAGACGCTTAAGGGCCAGGGCCACGACATGGGTTCGGACATCTGGTCCCTGGGCTGCGTCCTGTACGAGCTGGCCCAGCTCGAGTCGCCTTTCGCGGGCAAGCACCTCACCATGAAGACCGTGAGTCCTGTCAAGAGAAAGTTGAGGGAAGAAAGGGGTTTGACCCTGTTTGTTCCTTCTCGGAAGGCAGCTGGCAGACATGCATGGATAATCGTGATGGTCTCGGAGCTCTTGTCCCCTGTGGGGTCTGTTCAATCGGTCGTCGGGCAGAACCACCTCCCCGTGGCCGTGGTCGAAGTGACGCCTCTTTTTTTTTTGTCAAAGAATCACTTTTGAGAACTTTGAAAATCGAAGGCAAGCTCCGCGGGAGGGAAGAGTGGAGCACTATCCAAAGCCGCCGGAGACCGCGCCTTCATCGCTTCAGTTGCTCGCCATTCCGTTCGTCTCAACAATGCCGTCTGGTGCTCCTGTTTTGTCCCACCTCAACAGCACTCTGCCTCTCTTCCCTGTGACCCTTGTCCACATCCCCATGTCGAAACGCAGCTGTTCCGGAAGATCGTGCAAGCGGAGTATCCACCACTGGACTGCAAGATTTACAGCCCGTGCCTGACCAACCTGGTGGCCCATCTCCTCATGCCAGATCCCACCATTCGCCCCAGGATTGAAATGGTACGCTTGGCCTGGTGGCCCATCTCCTCATGCCAGATCCCACCATTCGCCCCAGGATTGAATTGGTACGCTTGGCTTTGCTGTGGTCCTTATCGCCTCGGTCGTCATTGGTGTTGTGGTGGTCGTTGCATTTGCGCTCGTCCCCCTGTGACCCGCTTGTCTTGTGTGCACGTATCCCCTGCTTTCTTTTTCGTTTTCGCCCGAAACACCTCCTCGCACAGGTTCATCCAGCGGCTCAGCTGGCGTTTGAAGCAACCCTCAAAGGGATTGAGGTAAGGCTCGAGGACGGTCAAGCACAGCAGCAGTACGAAGGGATATTACCTCGTTTTGAACCTCCTCTTGATGCTTAACGCTCGCATTCCATGGACACCGACCACAAGTTCTGTCGCCCTCCCATCACAACTTGGCAGGTACGCTCCTGTTCTGTTTTCGATTGAGCAACCTCTTGCCGTTGACCTTGCGAACCATGATGATTTGGCCAACCATTTCACGGAGTGCCTGTTGATGATCGGAACAACCCTTCGGACACACCCCTCTGTTTCCGTCGCCCATGCCTCCTAGGCAAGCGTACCAATACAAAACCACCTCACGAAAGGACACGAAAAACGTGACGTACACCAGCCCACCCGTAATCACCACGCCTAACTCCAACCATCTCGATATGGCCCAACTGGAAGTTTGCCAGCGGGGCACCAAAAGAACCAATGCAACACCACCTCACGAGAACACGCGGAACTCGTGACGCACACAAATCCACCGACCTGTAATGTACTACACCCAAACCCAACAACCTGCCAGGGTCTCGATATGGCGCAGCTGGACCTTAGCCAGCAGGGGGGGGCTCAGCGGGACGGTGACTGCCCTGTCCCCGAAGCGACGACCGCCACAGACACCAGCGTCGAATGCGACCTCGTTGGAGCCGTCCCTGCTGCAGATGCAACAGGGGGGACAGCCGAAACCACGGCCGCCGCCACCTCAACCGCCCTCGCCGCCCCCCCAGAAGCAACAGAAGCACCAGCACCAGCTGCAGGTAGAGGAGGACGTCGGGGAGGCCCAAGACACGTGACAGGGCCATCGGAAGCGTCTCGCAATTTCTTGTGATCAAGCAGGCGCCAAAGGCGGTTGGGGCCGAACATTTTTGAGGTCGAGTGTTTTTTGGTGGAATATATGTAGCAATTTAACGGAAATGACGCGGATTGTGCGTAAGATGTTGTTTATTGTCGGTTTGTTTTGATGTCCTTTGTGGTGCGGTACTTGGGTTGGCCTCCGCCCAGATTGATTAGGTCCTCTGACTTATGTAGATGATTGACATAATAACAGTGAAAGAATACAGGGGATGATAGTGGATGGAAGCCTAGACTATACACAGGTAGCGGGGTGGGCATGTGCCGCCTGGCCAGCTCTCTTAGAAAGCGTCGCGGCGGCACGAAGCACATAGTGGGATAGAGTGTGAATAGTACATGTTCGCATGGCACTTTTATGGCAGGAAGATTTACTCCTTGTTCGTTTGTTTGGTGTGCGTTGCGTTTGTTTGGTCAATTGATTCGAGTGTGATATTAAACCTCGACGCTGTTACCCCACCGGCCTGCAGCGCCTCCTCCTGCAGCAACCGGGCACACGTGTGGTAAACTGTACACTCACGGCCGGCCCGCTCTACGAAACATGCGCATTCACTACTGCTGTAGTTTCTCCAGACACCAAAGATTGAGCTCTCAGCCCCGACTACATCCTAAAACCATCAACGATCGTGGGAGGATCGGTGGGTATCCCGTACCGTACTTGACACAGCGGCTGCATACTTCTGATCCAAACCCTGGATCAGCCGGATCAGAAGCGTGAACACTGCTTGGATGTGAATACACGTGAATAGCAGTAGTGACGGAATGACATCTCGTGTTTTTTTTTTTTTTGTTGTCTTCACTTCAAATCAGCGCTCACAGCACTAGTGCCGTTTACTCCAACCCGTGGTCACACAGAAGAGCCCCTTTCTACCCTCCCCTCCTGCGGTGCTTTGCCTTCGATTTTTAATGAGAGGAGAGTTCAGCACTCTCTTCCCTTTTTGTACACACGAACTAGCGCTATCCACTAGGCCAGGAGCGGAAGCGAGAGAAAAACTCACTTTGCAAGAAAAGCTCGCTTGCGTGTGGAAGGCAAAAAAAAAAATGGTTTGTATGTACCCACCATGATTCCCCGGGGCCCCTGTTGCCAAGTGTACCTCTCAGCACACAACATATCAGCACCGACCTTCTTGCCTCCCTCTTCCATTTGGTCACTTCCCCACGCCACTTTCCTCCAACTAGCAACAACCAGCAGCAGGTGGGCGATATTTGTAGCAGGACGCTTGACCCGAGTCGCTAAAAAGGGTACATGTGTTCGACTTTTTTTCAGCATCGTTATCAGCACTGCTGTGCGGCGTTGCCGCAGGACTCATTGCACGTGCACCCACGCTCCTCTGGTGTTGCTGTTGCTAGGTCTCACGACGGAAGCATCCTCTCGTGGCCGAACTTAACTAAGCAAACCCCCGCCTGTCTTTGTCGGTGACTTGTTCAAACACGTGTTTTCTGTCCATACGGGCCGCCGCTCGTCCCACACGTTGGAAACACCAAAGAAAAAGAGCAAGAGATTGAGAGAGCCAGCGCGGGCGCCAAGGGAGAGAGAGCATCAACAGCAAATCGACGCACTCCCGAACACCCTACCAGCAGCGGTCATACGATCTGTTTTCTTCGCGAGAGGAGAAGCATTGGAGGGTGGCTCAACAGTCGCGGCAGCCACAGCAGCACGAACGGCAAGGGCTTGCTAAAGCCAACATGACAGATGATCATGTACGGCGGCATGGCGGTGGTAGTGGCCGCCTCGCGTTATCATGCACCGCTCTTCGCGCGAACGAAGGGGCCGGGCCTAGCGTGTCGAAAGCGCTGGGTCTCTTGTGTCTCCTGGCGGCATCGATCGTGCCCTCGGTCGGCCAGCAAATGGACCCCGCGCAGATGCAACGCCAGATCCAGCAGCAAATGGGGGGCTCCCCGGGTGGCGGAGGCGGCGCCCCACCGCCGAACAGAATAGGTGAGAGACAACGGAGGGGAGCAGGCCACACGGGGGCGGGTATTCCACACACGTATCCGTGCGTAATATGTTGGGGTCACGGTCGATACCCTGGTGTGCGTTCTTGCAGACTCTGGTGAAATGCAGGCAAAGTCGAAAATCATGAAGTGATGTTTTTGGGTGGATTGGTGAAGTTCCTTATTCCGCCTCGCGACCGCAGATATTTCGTGTTCCCATGTATGTATAGACCGCCGCATTGTTCTCCCCGCCCAACCCTCCCACCCTTCTTCTATTCCTTCGTAAACGCAGCCAGTATCCGCATCTCTCTGGAGGTTGGTGGTGTCCCCCTTGACCCCCCCCGCCGCCTACTCACCGTTGCCCCGCCACCATCCCTTTCCCTACCCATCGCGGATGATAAAACGTGTTGCTCGCTTGTTGTTGTAGCCCAAATGCTGTCCGCCGTCGGGGCCGGCGGTGCTTCCGCCGCTCGCTGTGCCCGGGAACACCCGCGGGCAGCGGTGGCGGCGACGGCGGGCGCGGCGACTGCGTTGTGGGTGGGCAAGGAGACGAGAAGATCGGGGCTGCTTGTGTGCAGCAGCCCTCGCATCAGCTTGTTTCGGGTGCGTGTGTGTGATGTGTGAAGCAGCCCCAAAGTGCGCATGCCCCCCTTCCCAGCGGTGCTTTTTGTGTGAACTTTGTGTGAACCAAGCGAGTTCCGTTTTTCGAAGACCATGGGACTGATGATGTACAGCGGCGCCCTCGGACCAGCCTGTTTGTGCGTGTGCACGGTCTTCATTGAGTGTGTATCAGCAGCGGAGGGCGCGTGACAGACCATGGGTACGTTGTGTGCAGCAAAGCAAGTGTCGTTGGCAGAACGTTAAAAGCCGACGCCACGAGAGGCGAACGCCCCCACCCTGGGAAGTGATCTTTCGACTTCGTAAAAAGGTGTTACAACAATCATTCGCCCTACATGTGCTGCTCTCATGAATTCGTCGCTATAAATAGTGCGACGACGGCACTCGGCAACTCAAGCTGGTCTTGACACAGAGACAGAGAGGTTTTGTCCCAAGGGAGTGCCGGTTGAGCCACGCCCCTTACCATCGGCCAGTCGTGGCTGTAAAACGTGTTGGCACGGGCGGAAGTACAAGAAAGGAGCGGTGAACGAGGGATAGATAGTGTCTCATGCCCTCAGTGGCGCCGTTAACCCCCAGTAGCAGCGAGTGCAGTCGACAGTGGCGGTTCATCTCCACTTTGGCGCACGTATGCGTGTAGTGTGTAGTAGCCCCCTTGCCCTGTTGCTGCCACTGCCGTTGCAACTCTCGGGGCAACATCAGCAACAAAATACAGTATCGTTTTTCGAACCACAAGGGCGCTCCAAAACCCGAAGCTGATCTCCACCTTCAACTTCAACTTCAACTTCAACTTTGACAGCCGTCGGATGCCTACCTGTCCCGGGTGCTGGAAGCGGCCGCCGAAGCTCCCGTAGCCTCCCCCCTTCGCGGCGTGATCCTGTCGCCACTGCAAGACCCTCAGGGGGAAGAGGAGCAGGAGGAAGGGCAACGAGATAGCAGTGCTAGTAGCCCGTCTGCCGAGGGAGGTGGGTGGTGGGTGGTTGTTGTTGTTGTTGTTGCTGCGGTCGTCGTCGTCGATGCTTGCGCGTTGTTCGCTACAACGTGTCATCAGCCGCGTTCGATGATTGGTTGATTTCTCCGAGGGCGTGTTCGTGTTCGGGCGTTTGTTGATATGACTTTATCCTGCTCTCTGGTTCGGGGTTTCGTAGCCTTGTGTGCGTGTGTGTTTGTTTCCTTGACCTCGCTTTTCGGAAGTCCAGTGAACAGGCATAATTTTTTTTGTGTGCCCGTGTCTTTTTTGCACGTTTTTGGCAAGCGCCAAGTGCCCACGGCGGATGGCGGCTGGACATTTGAAGCGACTGACACCGATTTTTTGTCCGAAACAAACTCCGCATCTCAACAGCATGTAGTTGGTAGACTTACGAGCCAAAGCCGAACAAGTTGACGACGGGCGCGAGACGGGCACTCATGGGCGGCAGTGTGTGCAAGAGAAGGGCGCGTGGGTCTGCGGCATGCAGGAGGCACGATGCTCTTGGCAGACACTCCACGTCGGCTGGTGTGGCGCGACGGCAAGAGCTCGCCGATGAAAGTATTTTGGCGTTCAGGTTTCTCGTCCCTTTCACCGCTGCTAGCCACTCCGCCGTTTCGCCGTGTTCGTTATCGCCGTCAACATATTTACACCAATCTCGAATGTGCCCGCCCCGTCCGCGTATCTGTTTGTGTGTCTGTCGCGTCTGCTGCACTGGTTTGCCTTCCTGTTCTTGTGTACATTTCTCATGGCTCTAGGGTCTAAGAAGAGACGAGGCTCGGGGAGAAGGCGAGTTGGGGACGGCGGCATCAGTAGCAGCAACAGCAGCAGCAGCAGCAGGTACTGTGCCCTTTTTTCTTGCCCCCTGTGGCGGAAATGGCCCCTGCACCCGCCCCGCCACCACCACCATGATCCGAGGGAAGCTTGATTCATTCATCCGTATGTGTTCTCCCGCCGGTCTCGGGTGGGGCATTAATTTTGTGCCACCTTTTTGTTCGCTGTGTGGGGTGCACCTGTTTTGTACAAGCACGCAAAGATCGAAGTCCCTTGCGGTAGTTGTGCCTTCCGAATGTGAAACGTTTGGTTAGCCCGGACGCTCAATCAGCCCACGACATTTCTGGTTTGGCACAGTATACACAAGGGAAAGGTAACCTGGGCCGGCGGAGACCCGGCGTATCGCTCCTCCGTCCCGGCGTTGTAGGGATGCGAGGTCAGTCGTCTTACATACGTCTACGGCGTGCGTTTACATGAGTGTGCATACGAGATGTTGCACGTACAGCATATCCAGCTGACTTGCAGCATAGTAGTGGATATGCTGTACATCTAACATGCGTGCACGCCCCCCTGTTTGTGGCGGGAACGGCAAGGCTACGCGAGGGAGAGGAGGAGGCCGGGGGCGCAGCCGAGATTCGCGCGACCCTTGGAATAATGAAGAGTGGGGCGGGACAGGGGACGTACATGCACGAGGCGACGCACGGGAAGGGGGTGAAGTCGGTGTGCGCTGGTGTGCGCGTGGGCAAGGGTCTCGGCATATACCACAAGTTCGCGCAAGGTGATCGGGAGAGCAAGAGAGAGAGATGGACAGGGACAGCGACAGAGATGACATCTGATCGGTCTGGACGGGTTTTCGAAGACCACAACCAGATCGGAACGCGTTAGGCATGAAAAACCCTAACGGGGTATGTACTTCCACCAACCTCCGCAGAGAACAACAGTAACTCAAGCAACGACCGTGGAACGCTGCCGTCTGTACCGTGCTTGCACTTTTGTGCACGTGTAGTGATTGATGTGCTCCCTTTTCTGTTGTGTGCGCATTTGCTCGTGTTTTTTTTTTGGGGGGGGGAAGGTCTGGGGAAGCTCGACGTCTTCGACGGCCGGAGCGATTGCGAGCTGATGGCGGCCGAGTCGTCTTCGGAAGATGTGGTGAGCACAAGTGTGGTATTTCGTGGGCAGTTCAGGAGGCGTGTTTATTTTCTCGAATCGGAAAGACTCGTTCGAGCGGCTTTCCAGCAGAGAGAGAGAGAGAGAGAGAGAGAGAGAGAGAGAGAGAGACAGACAGACAGACAGACAGACAGACAGACAGACAGACAGACAGAGACAGAGACAGAGGGACACACACACACACAGAGAGAGAGATAGAGACAGAGAGACAGAGAGACAGAGAGAGAGAGAGAGAGAGAGAGAGAGAGCCGTTGTTGGACTTAGTCGCGGGGCGTGGAAGAGGGGCGTCCGCTTGGGGTATCGAGGCAGCACATCATGCGTCGCGGTGGCATCAGCAGGCGTTGCGCTTGTGGCAAGCATATCAGCCTGTCCGACGCGTTCATGTCGTCACCAGGTTTGCCGTGAAGTTTCGTCACCGCTTTTCTGCCGTGCCCCCTCGCTCATGCGGTAGCACCGTCGTCTGGCCTACCGTAGGTGGCTCAAGATATCACACCCCCTGGACTGATGTCAACGCTCTCCTTTTTCCACAGCAGAAAGAGTGGCGATGCCAAAGGAAGTGTAGGTAGTAGCGCTTTCTGTCCGAAAACGTGTCGTTTCGGTCGTACACCTTCTTCGTCGCGGAGTAGTCGAGCTCTGAAAATCTGCAAGGGTGTGGACCCGTTCTCTCCTTTTTATTTAAAGGTAATTATCAAAATATTTTTAATTTTATAAATTAATAAAAATAAAACTTTAAAAACTGCCTTTGTTTTATATTTTTTCGAATTCCCCTCCCTCTCTCTCTCTCTCTCTCTCTCTCTCTCTCTGTGTGTGTATCTCTTGGACGACACCACCTTAGGAAATCGGACGTCTCACGCTCAAGACGGTGTGTATGACGGATCATACTTTGTTTCGGCGGCAACACTGCTATAATAGCACCCCTCCCCCCCATCCCCCCGGTACCATGCATCCCCCCCGTGCGCGTACGTCTTTCTGATGTAGGGCTCGACACTCGGTCTATTGACGCGGCCTGCCCTGGGCACCTGGTCCCTATCTCCTTTGAGGGTGGTGCTCAAGCGAGAGAGGACTCTGGCTGTGCCTCGCTCTGACGATGATGGTCATGGCGCTGGCGGTAGGAGGGGGAGGAGGACCGGCAGCAGCGGCAGCAGCAGCAGCAGGAGGGAAATACAAAAGAGAAGCAGCCGGCGAAGACAAGGCAGAAGCAGCAGCAGCAACAGAAGCAGCAGCAGAAGCAGCGGTGACAGCGGCAGGAGGAGGAAGGGCAAGGGTAGCTCTAGAGCGGGGAAAGAGGAGGAAGAAGACGAGGGAGAAGAGACCGAACGCCATCACCGCCAGGTGCCCCTCGCCGGCATTACCGTAGCTAACAACCTGGCCTGCGCCACCGACTTTTTTTTTTGCATGCTCCTTTCAGAAGTCTGTTGGGATCCATCCCTCTTCCTTCCCGTACCACCCCGCATGTGTGCTGGTTTCGCCACCCACCCACCCCCGCGCGCCGACGACCAGCTTCTGGTTCATGCTTGTGAAACTTACCGGCGAAAACCCGGAAGGCACATTGGTTCTCCGTCCCGGCATGCGAGGTCTTGGCTCTAACGCCTGCCGCATGCCTTGACATGAGCACTCCCCCCCCCTCCCCCCCCGCCGACCCATTGTGCTTGCTCTTCGCTGCACCAGTACACGCTCGCTCTTAGCGCGGTGGAGGGGGCCGGCTGGTCCGGGACGTGGGTGTTTCGGGTCACTCTCGACGCCGAGACGGAAGAGGTGTGGTTCGAGACCAAGCTCTCACAGAGGAAGGGGTCTTTCGGGACGACTGCCGGCGGGGATCAGGCAAGCGATAATTTTCCTTCTTTTTTTTTTTGTCGTGACTGCATTTGCAGTACACGCTGCCGTGGTTGAGACGTTCCTCCATTTTTTTTGTTGTTGTTTCTTTCTCTGTGCTTGTGCACCGTCCTGTTGGACCCTAGCCCAGCCTGTACCCCACCGTTCGCTTGTCCTGACACCCCGGCGTGTTTTTTTCCCGTCAATATTGGGCCTGGACCTGACGATTACTATATAATAGCGCCCGCACACCGCTGGTGGCCGCACGTGCTGCAAGAGGTGTGCCTGGCTGTGGCATTCCCCCCCTTCCCTCTTACGCTCCATGACCGGTTCGAACTGCATACCCCTCCCACTTTGGTTGTATCCTTCGTAGTTGGTGCGGGTGACTCGCGTGAACCAGGACATGCTTGCGAGGGCGAACAGGCACTCGGCCGTGCTGAGGGCACGAGAGGAGCAGTTCACGAGGTGGGTGAACACTTTTCTTCCTGTTTTTCTTTCTTTCTTTTTTTGCCACTGCCTCTCCAATAGCGCGTCTAGAAGAGAAATAGGCGGGGGAACTGTGTTTTAACTCATGTGGTGTGTGCGTGTGTCGTTTGCTGGTCAGGGCCCGCCGGCAACATAAAGCGGGTGTTTTTGGCATTAACTTGAAGTGGGAGCTGCGCGATGTCCCTGGTGGTTGTAATGTTCGAGTCAGTAGTGTTGTTGTTGTCGCTGTCAAAGCCAGGAAGCACGCTGAAGTGGGACGGCCATCGGTTTGTTTGTGTTGTAGTCGGAGCAGCAGGTTTCTGACACGAGCCTGGTTTGCAAGTGCCACCAGGCAACCGAAGGCTCACTCGGTGTGACCGGTAGCATCGTGCTTGGTTGTTTCTGATGGTGATTCGCGTGTAATTCCGTAGCTTTCGTATATCCAAACGGTCACCACCAGCACAAACAACGACAACAACATCGACACCAACGTCGAACAGGGTGTCTTCTCTTGCTCGGAGCCGTGCGAAGGACGCGAAGGATCTTGCCCGCGACCGGATCCTGCACCCGGACAAGTACAAACGAGTGCACCGCTACATGCGAGGTATGATACCCGTGCACCAAACAACAGGGGGGGGGCTCGTGCCGGATGGAATTGATCGCCTTTGTGGAATCGCGTTACCGGAGTCTATTTACCATGCCGGCCTCCCAAGCTAGCACAACAAGTAGCACCACCGTCATGTAAGGAATAGGGACGGTTCGTTTTCTTTTGCTCCTCTCAGCTGAGATGTTGTCTCGTTCGGCCATTGGTCCGAGAGTGATGGCGAGCACAACAAGATGAACACGTTGCTGCCTACCCTTTTCTCGCCACCCCTGTCGCCACCGCCAAGACGTGTGACACACCACACCAAACTTTGCTTTTTTTTTACTCTTGGCAGAACGTACTCGCATTCCCCGGCGACGTGCCCCCCCCCCG